GAGCCACCCCTGAGGTGGCTCGGTGGCGCCGAGCCAAACGCTCGGGGTGGCTCGGCCAAGGCCGAGCCACCCCGCAAGGGGCCCGGCCAATGCCGAGGCCACCTCGGGTGGCTCGGCGGCCGAGCCACCTCCGGGGTCTCGGGGGCCGAGCACCTTGGGTGGCTGCGGCATGAGCCCGAGCCACCCAAGGTGGCTAGGCAGCAGTGTCGGCCACGCCTCTGCCAGCGAGGTGGGCCGACAGTAGGCCCGAGGTGGCCGACAGTGGCGCCAGAGGTGGCCGACAATTCCCTTTTTGCAGCCACTGCCTGAGACCTCTATAAATAGGCCTAGGAGATGTTCATGTTTCGAGGTGGAACTTTCAAGAGCCGAAACGCTGCGGAATTGAAAGAGTGAACTCGGAGCTTGAAGACCCAGAAGACTTCACCATTCAGATCTGATCTGCGCGACCATCCACGATCAAAAAGGCAGGATTCTCGAGAAGGGAAAAGAACAGATCCTGAGATCTACACGAGCTACACTGCCAGATCCCTCAGCTTGGTCTTAGATCTCGAATCTGAGCGATTATTCCCATTGGTGGCATTAATCCCTCCGGCTATTATAAACCTTCGGGTGAATCAATACCCGCATACTCGCTGTAGATGCGCGACCGGATTAGATCGCGCGGTGGTCCACGGATTAAAACCGCCGGCGTTGGCAAAGAACCGAAAGCCACACAAGCGAGCGACCGCAAGAACGAGGATCTCCGTGATTCGTTCGATAAAAGAGGAAAGTTGTATTTTTTTTAATTCTTTGATTTAAAATTGTAACCAGGATCTATAAAAGACCGGATCTTAAAAGTTGTAACTCAAGATGACAATTATCTCATTAATGAAGAAAGCAACAGTTTTCCACGCGAACACTCACCAAATCGGCTGCATCATAAAGACTGCCTACGTATCCTCTTGCCCAAGGAATCAAGCCGAACGTAGTTCACCAAAATGGCCTCCAAAGGCCCTCAAACAAATAGAAAAGTCAGCAACTCTTCTTCAATATCACCAAACGATCTGTAACTGATAGCACTCCCAATAGCTCCAAATTGAGACAAATCAAACACCTCCATCTGAGGTGAACCAATGGCCGTATCCAAATTAAGTCCATCAGCTGCAATCGAATCCAACTCATCATCTGTATCCAAATCCAAATGATTCCCAATCTGTGTCACCTCAGCTGGAATCCCAAATGATACAGTATGATCCGGAGTCTCCACCCAACGTGGAGTAGCATCACTCTCCACCCGCTAGGATGTCCCAAAGATCTGATCACCACTCTCCACCTGCCGAGAGTTAAACGTGACATACCTGCTCAGAACAAAATCAGAAGCCAATACCTGATAATCAAACACGCCTCTGAATCCCAAATGTGCTATCGGATCAAATCTCACATCCACGATGTGACCAAGTGCTGGGTAGCCAAACATCCGACGCAACCAAAAATCTGAAGCAGCTCCACCAGATCCAAAATCTCTACATACAGCAGTCAGCAACCTATACATAAGATGGTCCAAACATGTCGTAGCCCGTACACCAATGCCATTGCTCGACATCAAACGCCGATCCTCCTCCAGAAAGGAACAGCTCCCCAAATCTGCCATCTCATCTCGTCGCCTCAAAGTTTCCACACCAGTGAAGTGTCTCCAATTACCGTGAGCTCGGCACAAATGCATAAATAGGTCCCTCTTGTACCTCCCTCTAACATCAGACTGAAATACCTTCACCTTTCTGTCAATACACTTCCTCCATCTGTTGCGGGCTTCTAGGACTTCACACCAACGGGACTTGGTTGCAACCCACCAATGCCTAGAGCAATCCCCAACTACGAAAACCACATACCTATTACCTCCCAATGATGCTCCTTTGGAAGGCTCCCGAATGCCTGAATGAACACCCCTCAGAAGACCCCTCGAATAATGGATAGAAGTGCCAAACTCCACCTCGGTCTTCTTGCTCATACCAATGGATTCACAGGACTTCAAACTGCAGGTCAAAGCACTCCTCAATAACCTATGCATGGTATTACCAATCAAATAACCCAGCATCAAACAACGCCACAGTCTAGCCGAATCTGATGAAGTCGTCAGCTCCCTATCAATCGCCGTGCCTCACTTCTTCCAACTCCCGTACCATCCCGTCACTCATCTTAATCCGAACGGTACCAATACCACCAATAGAGCATGCATGTCCATTACCCATGAGCACAACATCCTTTCTTTCCAACTTCTGAAAGCTGGAGAACCAATCCCTCCTAGGGCAAACGTGGTATGAAGCACCCGAATCCAACATCCACTCTGTAGAGTTGGCAACACAAACTGACGGTAGTGCAGACAACGAATAGCCCGAAGAATCCGAATCTGAATTGTTGTCACTGGTCTTGATAATATTCATCTCTGAAGCTTGTACAGCTTTCCCCTTATTCTTCTCGGCTCGATCTAACTTTGGGCATTCGGATTTCCAACGTCCATCCTCTTTATAAAAGGCACACTGATTCCTACGAATCCCACGATGTGCACCTCTAGACTGCGACCTCCTGCTTCGGTTTGAACCACGGCCATGAACTACTAATGCATCTCCCGATGCCTTCTCGGAGGACTCATCAACACTCTTCCTCAACTCATAATTCACCAACGCTGAGATCACCTCCTTGTAACTAACAGTAGTTCTTCCATTAATCATAGTTAGGACAAAAGTACCATAATCATCCTCGGGCAACGAACACAAAAGTAGCATCGCCTTGTCTTCATCCTCAACCATGATATCCACATTGACCATGTCTGAAAGTAGCTTCGTGAAGTTGTTAACATGCTCCCTGATGGAAACCCCCCTCTTCATCTTGAACTGATAAAACCTCTTCTTCAAGTAAAGCCGATTCTCAATGCTCTTAGTCAAATACTTCTCATTGAGTGTTTCCCACATCTTCTTCGCCGACGTCTCGTTCATCACGTCATAAATAAGATCCGGCGTCAAGCATGACCGAATAACTCCACACGCCCTACTATTCATCTTCTTCCAAACCTTAGCTTCCATCTCGGCAGGTTTCTCTTGTAAGTCAAGAGTCTCCTCCAAATTCTGAGCGTCCAAGGCGTCCATCACCTGACACCTCCACAATCCAAAGTTAATCTTGCCGTCGAACTTCGGAACATCAATCTTCATGTTATTGATGCTCAAACTATGTATCTTCTTCGTAAGAGATGATCCCGATGTGCTTGCTTCACCCATATTGTTGATCTAACCCTTCAAATAAGAATCCTTCAGCGAATCCTTCAAACAAGCTCCCAAGTCCAACCCGGAGCTCTGATACCACTTGTTGTGCGCAGCAGAAATTTCGGCATCACTTCGGCAACACAACAAGAGAGATTAGATCGATAAGAATTCCCGTCTCTCAAAGGAAACAAGAACCAAAAGCCAGATATCTCATCAAAGTGAGATATCAGCTCTTCCTCTCGTCAGCTCTAAGACTGCGCGTCGAGGGAACCTACAAGCTATTACAAATCACGGCAAGAACACAAATTTTACGTGGTTCGTCAAACTGCCTACGTCCACGGGGCAAGGAGGGGGGAGATCTACTAATAGAAGGAGAGATACAACTGGGGTTTATAATCACACAATCTAAACCCTCACAAACTCTCAGATCCCTCACAAAATCTCTCTCAAAGGGATGCACAAAGCCCTAAAAGAGACTACACAAAATCTCCTCAACTGCAGCCGCAAAAACAAATGAATCTCCTCTGTCAAGAGAACAAAACCCACAGCCGAAAACCAAAACGGCGACTTTTCCCTTTGACTGGACAAACTCTCTTTGCACACCGCCACTTTTCCCCTTTTCGTACTTGCTACAGGAAAACCTAGGAGATCACGTTGTTATATATATAAATATATCGGGTGGGCCTTCTTTTCACACCGCTTCATTTGGTGATCTCTTCACGCGCGGTTTGATGGCAACGTGGGCCACAATTAACGTGTTCACAAACACGTTCAGAAATGAACGCGGACGAACGTACGCAGGTGGTGGGTCCTCCCACGTGTTCACAGTTGAGAAGAAGGATATCATCATCAAGTATGGCATTGCTGAGAGAGTATTGCTAATGATAAAGGCAGCAACCATTCAACCTCTCTCTTTGAAAAACCTGCATTCGGTATATAACAAGACTTAGGATTTTGGTGAACATTTTAACACTAATTTGGTTGTGTTCATCCTAATCAAGAATATATATAATAGCGAAGTTTAATTAGCAACCTTCATATCTTCTATAAATGACGGAAATCCTCCGATAGACATGAAAGTGATGAAGACGAAGATGAAAGCAATACAAAGACTTCTTGCCTGTTTTAGCACAATAAAGAAGAAATGGTTCATGGAGTACTACAATTAATAGTTCATAGAGTAATGCAATTAACAGTGGTTTTTTTAATATTAGTCCCGCAAATCATTTTAAATTATTCCTCACGATTTTCCTCTTTTTAAACTATATCCCTGGTCTTAAGAGTATTTCAAAATTAGTCCCTCAGTTATATTTATCATCCAAATTATTAATCGCAGTTTGGTTAGTGTTTAAGGATAGTTACAAAATTACCCTCACGAATATTTTATTAGGGAATATAGAGAGTCGTTGTCACAGAAAATTACTAACATGGGTTTGAGTTAGGATTCTTTTAACCGGGTAAGAGTGTGTAAAATGATTCAAGTGAAACAGATGTAGATTTCTGTTTAATTATAGATAATGGAATATTTCCTCTATTTGAACTAGCCACTACCTAGAGAGACTATTTCAAAACGAAATTTTTTAAAAATAGATCATTTCCATAAAACTATTTATCATTTTCGAGCTACTGTAAAAGTATTTATCTTTTTTGTCCTAGTTTCAGCTAACGAGTTTTAGCCACATTAGCCGAAACTAGGTCGACTTAAAAAAACCATCCAAAAACTTTACAAGATTGACAATTCTATAGAATTTAATGACTAAAATAAAGTACATGGGATTGTCAATCCCCCGTGCAGTTTAACTCAAATAAACTCCATGGGATTGCCAATGCCATGGAGTTTATTTCAGTCGTGAATATCCAGGGGATTAGCAATCCAGGAGAGCTATACTTAGCCCCAAACCACAAATTTTCAACCTGAGGCTTCACCCTATTACATATACATCGGATTGACATTAAAATGTAGATTACAATCCATAATATCAACAAAAACTACACAATGCAAGAATATACACAATCATAAATCAGTATCTCCCTTATATCGATCCAACCACAAGCAAGAAACACACGATCCAACATACATAGTTCAAGTCACATATAATACATAATCCAAATATGTGAAAATGTCATATGCATCCTGTCTCCAACATCTAACATGAGCCTCGATAATTTTACCATCTGGCTCTGCATGTAGCTGTGTAGGTGGTGGTTGTGTATGTGGATGTGGATCCTCCTCCCTAAATTACACGGTGAGAAGTGCCAGCTTCAAGTGTCGCGTCCATCATTACTTGTAGTAGAAGATCTCAGCCTACATCTCCGTTGCTCATACACCCTCATGTGCTTATATGTTTTGTCCTCACACTCTTCATGATCACCGATATGATTCCTATGTAAGACAATAGCAATCATTCATTTGATTTTGTCAAACAGCAATTTATTCGTTGTTAGAATAAGATTTGACAATCAGTCAGGGGTCTATGTCATTTAGATCTTCCACCATCACATGTTCATAACTATTATTTTGCAAGCCACCCTATATTCATCATCATCCAATGAGTCATCAGGTAAATCCTCCTCTTATTGGAAATCATCATCATTGTAGGCACCTGATGTCCCTCCAAGTGAAGGCTCGCTTAGGTGTTGTTGCATCCAATCCATATCTCGTTTAGAAAACATAAAATAGACGGAGTCCACTTCAAGGTCCATCATACATGAGCACATGCCGTCATGATTCCACATCCGGACTGAATTCCTCTAAATCTTCTCAAGAAATAATTCCATCGCATGTTGCTTCTCCAACACTTGAAACATGACCTTCATATGGTTGTCATTTGAGATTTGAATGGTATTGTTTCTACTCTCTACTATGGGGAAATTTAAAAACACTTTTGTTATAACATAGAAATGACCAAGTGTTAATCTCATCCCAGAAGATGACGCATGTCCTAGATTAACTATACACCGAGTCGAACCCACTCCACAAAAGTCAGACCAGAAGACATCATCACTCAACCCCTTCCTAGAAGGGCGAATCACAATGCGTCCTCACCTGGACCCTGCTACTAAGGCCAACTCCGTGCATTATCGTTCATTGGGTCAAGTCGAGAAGCCCTCTCATCAGAGCATTCTGGTCAAAAGGCGTCCTTTCTAAAGGTTGATATGAAAGGCGGTCATACTTGAACCCCTCGCCGACAGCCAATCACCATCAAATTAAATGTATTGTCAAAGTCATCATTCGACCTCGAAAGTCTTAATGACGACCTTGTCAGCACCTTACTTTCCCTATCACCCTCTCATTAATCATAAAGTTGATTCATACCGCTAGCAGCCGACACAAGCAAAGTATCAGCATAATAAGCTAACTGCTTGGACTTGGCCGAAGTTACACAATTACCCTCCTGAATCTGCTATAAACAGATGCACTGCCTACTGCATGGAGGTATGTAATCATGGGAATATAACACATTGCAATTGTACTTTTCTCCTCCATTTAAGAACAGTACTAATTGACTGTCGGAGGAACCCCTAGCGAACCCAACTCCAATCCTCTTACATATTCTTTATGTGCAGAATCGAGTCCTTTATTCAACAATCAACCATCAGGAAAGATTGAGTAACTCTAAAACTCTTCATAATCCACACTAAATTTTCCTATTTGATATCTGACATCAACCACTTTGATTTGATGCTCACTAGGATTAATCAACATAAGTTAGTGCAACTTATTGATCGATCTGACAAAAGAATATGATGTTGTAATCATCAATGGCATTCTTACCTCTCTTTCGTATTTGGGTATATTATTATGATTGTATATAGTTTTTCCATTACACGAACAAAGAAGAACTGATGGATCATACATTGTTACCTCTGGAAAATAAAATAATTTCAACATCAACCAATATTATGATATGTAAATAACATATAACACTAAACTTCTACCCATTATCTAACCTTAACATCATTTACCCTAATCTAACACTAAATTTTAAAATCATTTAGCCTGAATTTTACTTTTTAAATTACATTGATTTCCCAAAAACTCCATTTTGAATACAAAAGAATTTTAATAAATTACACAAAAAATTAACCATTTAAATTCCCTAACTTTTAAATCATTTTATTTAATTTTTTATTTCTCAATTACAAATAAATTTTTAGAAAACTCTAATACTAATCCAAACTATAAACTAAAAACAAGGTATTTGGGATGAAAGAGATGATAATATGAGAAAATTTAGGGAAAAAACATAAAAATTAGAAGAAATTACCAACATTTATGTCAAAACCCTAGAAATTAACTCCAGCGAACCCTGGCATGATCACAGCTAAGGAGGAGTAACCAGGGGGCAGGAGATGGTCAGCGCAAGTGGTCAGAGATAGGGTGGTGGTCAGAATAGTTGGATGGGAAAAAAAAAAACTCTATGTTGTGTTTGGACAGAGGGTAGAGAAGGGAAGGGGAAGAGAATTTTGAGTTTAACCTTACTTGGGAGTTTTATTGGGATGGTAGAGGAGGGAAATGAGGGGAAATTTTACACCCCAAATTGCAGGGTAAAGAAGGGGAAGGAAAATTTGACAAGTTCCCTTCATTTCCCTACATTTTCTTCCATTCCCTTAGTGAGCTCCCAAAACACAGTACTAGGGTTTGGGAGCGCGTAGGTAGGAAGGGGGGGGGGGGGGGGGGAGAGAGAGAGAGCAGAGAGTTATGCTCATATACTACCTGAAGTTCACGGACCTGGCGATCCCATGGACTTTGAAAAATCCCTGAACCCTCTGTTAAAAACATAGGACTAAGAATTTTTGCAACTAAAGTCTACGGATTGTCAACCCCGTAGACTTTGGTCAGATATATAACTAGAGTTAATTTTCTACTTAATTACATGGGATTAATGCAATGATAATGTATACAGGATTCTCAATCCAGTATCTTTTTTGAACAATTTTTTTTTTAAATCATCCTATTTACAGTGCATGAAGCTGGCGTGGCTGAAACTAGGTCGAAAATGATAAATACTATTGTAGTAGGGAAAAATGGTAAATACTTTTATGAAATGGTCTATTTTGAAAATTTCTCCATTTCAAAACACTCAAAAGATTTGAGAGCCTAATTTCAAAGAAGACTTATGGAACTAGTTTTAAAATATGTAAGATTCGGGGACTAATATCAGTATAAAAAAAAACCCTTTAAAGTATAGCGTCTAATTCACTCAAATACAAGGCATATTTTGAATTAGTACCCGAAATGAGTCAAATCCTGTTCCCACATCTGAGTAAACGATCACTACGGCAATAGTAACAAGGATATAAATCAGGAGCCTCAGCCAGTAATATCCAAAATCTCTCGACATGTTCACAAAGGAACGTTTGGTTAAAGTGCAAGCCTGGGTAAGGAAGGTCGCCTGGCTTCCTCCTGAATCCAATACTGTTCCTTTCTGCGACAAAAAACCCCACAGTAGTCAATATAAAATCTACACGTGAAATACTTAGTAGTGGAAAAAGAAGAGAAAGAGTAGAATGATACATACAACCCGACACATCTCGTCTACTTTATCCCGTGCTGCGTAACAGTATTGAGAATGGTTATAGAACTCGGTTAGCCTTCGAATCGCTTCAGCCGTCGTTATTTTATTTAGGGGTTCATCACTCGTCTCGAACTGTACGTAGAGGAAATTCTCAAACAATATTGAGGATGTTGCAAACTAAGCTGAAATGAAAACGAATCGGCTTTTCGTCGTACCACTATCTTCATAGATCCTTCGAGAGCCGCCTTCACCTTGTCAAAATCAGAGTTTATGCACCTCAGGAAATGATCCGATGGGTTTCTCAGAGACGGACAAGGGAAGCCTGCTTTGGCAAAAAACTGTAACTTCCAAATAAAAGAATTAATCCTACCTGAATGAAGAAAGAAAAATCAAATACAATTACACTATCTTTAAGGGTTAATTGCGGAGGGACTCCTTTCTATTATCACTAAACTGTGGGTAGACCCTGTAGTTCTATCGTTGCAGATTGATCTCTAGTACTGTCGTCCGAGTTCTGATAGACCTCAGGCGAAGTTTTTTTGATACTTTTGCCCCTTCAACAGGTCTATTTGTCAAAGAACAATTTCTCTCTCTCTCTCTCTCTCTTAGGGGAGAAGAGTCAAAAAATTCACTCAGAGGATCTGCAACAATAAAACTACAAGGGGTCAACCTGCAATTACGCGATAGTACAGGAGTCTATCCGTAATTAATCCCATCTTTAATTACCTCACAAGCCTCTGAAACCTGCCCAAAATAGACGGTTTTGCCCCCTGCAAGCAAATATAGTCGATCAAACAACTCGAAAACCTCGCTGCTCGGCTGGTGAATTGAAGCAACAACAGTCCGATTATTTCTTGACAGACTCCGAAGTGTTTGTGTCACAAAGAATGCCGAAGCACTGCATTTTTGGAAGGATATGAAACTATATACAAATTCTTATGGAACAAACAAAGAACTTTAGTAATAAAGGGAACACTAATTTAATTACCTGTCAAGACCACTAGTAGGCTCATCCAAAAATAGCAATCTCGGCCTCATAAGGATCTCAAGAGCAATGCTAACTCTCCTTTTCTCTCCTCCACTGATCCCCCTCAAGTGCCAGTTTCCAATCACAGTATCTGCACAGTCCTGAAGACCCATCTCAAGTATAGTCCCCTCAACAAGAGCCCTCTTCTCTTCCGTCGCCATCTTATCTGGTAACCTCAACTTAGCAGAGTACATGATCGTCTCTCTCGCCGTCAGAGTCCCAATCAAATTATCGTCAGGCGTCACATATGCCTAAATAGAAGAAACACGCACAATATTGGAAAACTGTGGAACAAAATAAATTATTAAGTTATACATACTGCAGTTCCGAAAGAGAGCTTCGTTTTCATTCCATTGAGAAGTATTTGACCGGAAAGGAATGCGTTGGTTGCGAGTCTGCTAGCGAGGGTGTCGAGGAGGGTGGACTTTCCAGAGCCGGAGGGGCCCATGATTGCGGTGAGCGTTCCGGGCTCAGCATACCCAGTTAGGTCTTCTAGGAGGGTCTGAGTATCGCCATTGCCAAGGGTGACCATCACGCTCAAGTCCTTCCATGTCAGCCTGGCTGATATGTCTCCGACGAACTCTATGACCGCTTTCACCTCTCCCTTCATTTTGTTAAAGAGGGAAGTGTACAAGAGTTGGATTTACTTATGGTGAAGCAAACAGTTAGTAGATAAGCGGAAAATGAGATCTGTGCTAGGTTATGACTGAGAGAGAGAGCATACTGCTGCTTGCCGTTACTTTGAGGTTTCAGTTATTTTAGAATTTGATAGATTCAGAGCAACTGATACCTATTACTAAGTCCAATTCTACCTTGATATGCACGCCACTTTCTTTAACTGAAAGATAACCCGTTAGTATCAGCAATCACCAAGAAATAATTAAACAAATGACAGTATTTTTCAATTTGCATGTGATATCTAAAGATTAAGTCCAATTATTACCTCGATATGTACGCCATTCTCTTCAATTGCAAGTTAGCTGGTGTATCCGCTAGCACCAAGAAATACTTAAACAAGTGACCTGACACTAGTTAGTGTCAAATACAATCATGCCTTCTTACAAAATTAGAAAATTCTAATTCTATCTGTATCTTACTGGCTTGCACTTAAGGTGCTTCGTTCTGGCATAGAGGCTCTATAAGGAGTTCTCTTAATAAGATCTATCAATGAAACCAAGCGATGCAAGTTTATCTTCTTCTCCTGTACCTTTCTTCTTGCAGTGTAACCTCCGAAGGACTGCAATCTTACTGAACAGAACAGTCAGGTCCACCCCTTTTGGACCTGAGGGCATCGATATGAAAAAGGTTCTCTATAACATAATCACCTCGATTCTTCGGGAGTCTGGTCTCCGAAAATAAAGCCATTTAATTACTTGTTTTGGTATTTGCCTTGTTGGATTGTATAGAGTTGTAAGGTAGTCCGTAGCGTCTGCTTGGTTACTTACAGGATTGATGATCAGTTCTTTTTATATTTCCCGTGCTGCCATGAAATGGAAGCTAATGTATGTCATGAGATATTGCCAGAACGGATTCAGGATGTCATGAAGAAGTCTGAATTATATGTAGCAACACAGTTACTAAGAATTATATGTGGAAGCACTGTTTTAAAAAAGAATTATATCTAGGCAAATCTACCTAGACCCGCATTGTCTCCAAAGGTTAATTCTAATGAGCCACGAATCCAATTATATTTAACAATATATATCCCATCTAATCATTTTTCTGATGTGGATTAAAAACCATTTTGTCTTTACTAAATAAAACCTGCACCCCAACTCTATTGATGCTGGATATTCCTCATACTTGGCTCGTATACAATTTGAACCAACCCAACCCAGCACAAAGACAGTGAAGATAGTGTCTTCACTTAATACTTTGTAGACAAACGGAGTCACACCCAACGTAATGGTGACAATATGTCCACGCAAGGGAGCAGTAACCTATTTCTGACCGAGCTACGTATTCGCGGCTATATGTGATGTCATAGCAAACAAAACATCTAATGACCCATTGAACTCCCGAATCTTATTATAAATCAGTGGGTTGAAAAGTACCATACAGGAGATAAACTAGACCAACTTACTTCGATCCCAATTGATTGAAAGGATTAACCACATAAGAGGCATGAGTCCAACTATATTTAACCATGTATCTGTCAAACTGTTATTCCGATGTATGATCAGTAATTTTTGACTTCGCTAAGCCAAATCACACCTTAGCTAAATGGATGTCAAAACTCCTAACCTAACAATTTCCAGTTATTCTATTATTTTCGCAGAAAACTTGTCACATAAAAACAATACTTGTTGAACTGTTGCTCTAGGAAACTAAGGGTTTTGCGCTCATCTTACACACACAATCGTGGAATTATCAGTTTGATCAATCATAAGCTAGCTGTTGAATAGGGCTTGCACTGAAGCCATCAATTTTAAATCGACATCACTCAGACATTGACCGATGATACAAAGTTAAAGAGACTCAAAACTAAACTCATCAACTTCGGACCGTCGTCAATCAAGGCCCAATGGCTTCCCACAAATGACAACTCCTGTTAGTGGATGTTGTCGCGCGCCTATGCGGAAGCGTTGCACGCACACACAACGAACTTGAGATCACGGAAGAAGAAAACCACACACTTGCACAAACCAAGCCAATTACGACAAATCAAACCAAACACAGAGATATACGTGGTTCGGCAATTGCCTACGTCCACGAGGAGAGGATGGGGAGATTTCACTATATGGAGGAGAAATACAACGGGTTACAACTCACAAAATCACTCAAATATAACCCTAACCAAAGCTCTCAACTCCCTCACAATATCTCCCTCTCAAAGTGCTCAAAACAATGCTAATTCTCTCCTTTTCTCTCCTTAAGAAACCCTAAAAAACGTGGTCCTATTTATAATAAAACACAATCCCAAACAAAGGAGGATTTCCATACAAAGGAGGATTCTAAAAACAAGTCTGCCACACCCTGCACCATGGGTGTGGCAGAGGGTGTGGTGCAGGACAGATTCTGCCACACCCTGCACCGTGGGTGTGGCAGAGGGTGTGGTGCAGGACAGATTCTACCACACCCATGGCAGACATCACACCAGGATGTGGTGGAGTCTGTTTTGGGTTATTCTTCACGTTTTTCACAATTCCTTCGTCGTTTTCACAATTCTCCACCTCTGTGAAGCGTTCCCAACACTGAGCCGACACCAACATGAGCACCAATGTGTCGTCTCTCTAAACTCGGCTGCACCAATGTGGTTTCCTACGTACCCCCTCTCCCAAGGGATCAAGCCGCCCGTAGTTCATCCAAATGGCCGTCAACGGCCTCAACAATCACGAATGTGCAACAAGTTTCGACAATGATCAAACTTGTTGCTCGGAAACACCTTAGTGAGCATATCCGTTGGATTATTCTTTGTGTGGACTTTCACAATCTCCACATCGCCATCTTCAAGAACATCCCGAACGAAGTGACAACGAACGTCAATGTGCTTCGTCCTCGCATGAAAAACCTGATTCTTCGCCAAATAGATAGCACTCATGCTATCACAATGAATGGTGACAGACCGCTGCGAAATACCAAGTTCCTCCAAAAGTCCTCGAAGCCAAATAGCCTCCTTCACAGCCTCCGTAACTGCCATATACTCTGCCTCCGTCGTAGACAAAGCCACCGTCGACTGTAAGGTGCATCTCCAACACACCGGCGCACGGGTCAAAGTAAACACATATCCCGTAGTAGACCGACGCTTATCCAAATCCCCGGCATAATCCGAATCAACATATCCAATGCACAACTGCCCACCTGTAGTGTCCCGCTCATAAACCAAACCAACATTGAGCGTACCTCGAATGTACCTCAAAATCCATCTCACGGCGTCCCAATGACCCACTCCTGGATCGTGCATGTATCTCGACACCATGCTCACCGCCTGTGACAAATCCGGCCTCGTACATACCATCGCATACATCAAACTCCAAACTGCGCTCGCATATGGAGTCTTCGTCATCAACTCACGGTCTTCAACTGACTTCGGTGAAAGGCTAGCTGAAAGCTTCAAATGGGCTCCCAAAGGTACACTAACTGGCTTCGTATCCATGCTAACATGGAATCGCTGTAGAACCTTCTTCAAATAAGCCACCTGTGTCAAATAAATCTTGCCCTTCTTCTTGTCTCTACCGATCTCCATCCCTAAAATGCGTTTCGCCTCGCCCAAGTGTAGACGGTAAAAAAATACCTCTGATGAGCCTACAGGAAATTCGCCCACAAGAAGTCGCCTGCCTAAGCCGCACGTCGTCAAACATGCTCGGTTCCAGATTCGCCTAATGATCGGCTCGCCTGCACGAGATAAGATCGGTTAGGAAAGCGGAAGTTCGCCTCTTACGCGACTCGCCTGCCCGAGTCCAAAGACGAATCCGCCTGCAATCTCAAGACCGTCAGTACAGCTGGGTATCCACTACCCCACGTGCTGAGATGGACCTTCCCATTAAAAAATACCTCTATGGGTCTACAGGAAATTTGCCTACGAGAAGAGCTCGCACGCCCAGTTCTCTGGCACGGACCTAAACCGCGTAGACGTCGACTGTACTCAAGTCCAGGTTCGCCTAACGGTCGACTCGCCAGCACGAGTTAGGGTCGATCAGGATGGCGGAAATTCGCTCTTCGCTCAACTCGCCTGCCCGAGTTCGGAGTCGAATCCGCCAGCAAGCCCCAAAACCGTCAGTACAGCTGGGTATCCACTACCCCACGTGCTGAGATGGACCTTCCCATCTCTCTCGACCCGAAGGGAGAGAGCACAGTACCCCAGGACCGTCAAACGGCCGCTCGCAGTACGCACAGCGCGAAGGACTGGACAGGTGTCGAGTCAACCTGAGCATTCATAAATGCGACTCACCTCGGCTGTCTGAGTCAAGAGCTGGATCCGCCGGCACTCGGCAAGTTGGCTAGACCCACGCGAGTACTGTGCACCTACTTCGCCGCCTCTCCTGACCGGAAAGGAGAAAGCACCGTGCTCAAAGCACGCCGGGCGGTCACGCACAGTACGAGTGATCGGACAGACACCTCATCGATCCGTGAACTCATAAATACGGTTCATTAATGCTGGCCAAGTCCACTCGGATAGCAGACGGCCGTTGCCTCATATACAAGGATGGGCCTTCCCATTTTAGGTGACAGGACATAAAGCACAATCTCTCGAATGACCATTCATGGTACCGAGGAGCAGCTAGACGTCTCTGAAGAAGATATGGTCACATCCCATAATTCAAGGATGAGTCAAGTTGTCCCTCTTTCATTTAAAAAGCCCCTTTCAGCACACTGGAGGGGAGGTCGCAAAACTTGGAGAAGAAGAGTTGAGACCAAGCTCTCTGCATAATCTTTGCATTGTAGCACCGCTGTTTAGTTCCGAGCTCCGATCGCCGACGAACTAAGCAGACCCGAACTCCATCGATTCGAGCTTCTACTGCGAACTGAAGCTCTCCAGCAACCTCGATCGAACGGTCCAAGGGAAGCAGACTCGACACGAGCATCGAGCGAAGTGTCCTATAGCCACCTAAAGTCCCCACACAAAACAAAGAGCGCATTCCCTCTGCTTCTGTTGTAAGCATTTGATTTATTAGTTTGTAATAAGCTTTCGGGAAATCAAATGATACTGGAAAGCGACGTATCCGAAGGGTATACGCACAATGAGCG